TTTCCTTTAGATAATTGCCCGAGTAAGAGGAGGAATAGTAGGAAGAGCAAGGAAAGGACCTGATCTTCGTCTTGGAGACATAACCATCGTGAAGGAGGCGATTAAGCCAGGAAGTTACTTCGGAGACGAGATTCCTTCGAGCATGGCGATCATAAAATGTCACCAGGACGAAGTCTTGGTGCTGCCGGAAACTGCTAAAGTGCTCGCTTATTCCGAAAGGTATGAGGTTGAGATGTTCTCAATCGAAGATCATTTCTTCTGTGTTCAAGGACATCCTGAATACAACAAAGAGATTCTCTTCGAGATTGTTGATCGTGTTCTTGGTCTAGGTTACATCAAGGTTTGTTATACTTCTCTTTCCCTAATTATTCATATTAGCTATTTAACTCACATCACATCAAAAAAGAAAAATTAGAAATGTGCAAAAAAGAACTTGGAATTAGTGAAATATGATTTGGATTAAAATATTGGGACTAGATCGAATAATTAGACTGTTTCATTGGCTTGGTTAGTCACTTCGATTTTTAGTAGCACTTAGTTGACCCAATATTCAATTTTCCGGAACATGTGGATATTGTTGTCTACTTGTCTTGTTGGTATAAACTTATGATCACTATCACTGTTTTGGAATCGAATAATACCAATGAGAACTAAATACTGTGGAATATATTTGATAAATTATGACTTTAAATTTGCAGCAAGATTTTGCGGATGCGGCAAAGGCAACGATGGAGAATAGAGAAGCAGACAGGAAGCTATGGGAGAAGATTTGCAAGAATTTCCTCAAAGGCAAAATTCCAACTAATTAGTTTCACTTCCAAATTATCTTCTCTTGTTATATTGGAATATTTATGGAGTTATTATCTTGCTTTATTCCTATTCAATGTATAACTTATTAATCTCAGCGCGACATATTTATGTTATACCAATAAGAAAATAAAATAAATAAAATTATTATTCATAGTTTTCGCATGTCACCATGCGTATTAATCGATAAATCTTCGAAATCAAGTCGTGATTTTCTTTATCGATATCTTTTAAACAAATATATTATCATGATGTATAATTGTAATATATTTTAGGAGAATTGCCATATATAACAACAAAAAAAACTATAATACACAAATGAACCAATT